GCTGCCAGTGATTATAATTTGCGGCTGATTGTGTAGGCTGAATATGCACCTATAAAGAGTAGGCAAGTTTCGGACCGCTATAACCGGCCGATGCCGACAAAAACGGACATATAAACGGGCCAACGCGGGCAGAATACGGGCCGTTGCAGGCCGATAAAACCTTAATTATAGGATAAGGGTAAAGTACGGATTGATATCCTGGAACCGGACAGTTGTCGAGGTTCTTCTCGAGGACAATGCTATTCTAGACAACAAAGACGCACGTAGTACTATTTAAAAAGCTGTTGCATGGAGTATACAAGATCTGGTTCCTATAGACTTGGATACAGGGTACGTCTAAATACCAACGAGGATGGAGCGAGTCCCCTTGCCACTGTTGTTAGGACGCTATCACTGCGCTTTTAAACGAATTGGATTCGTACTGACTAATGAGCGAACATAGGTCACTTTGTGAAATAATAAAGAATGAAGCGAGGGCAGATTTGGGAAGTTTATCTGGCGCTTACCTTGGCCCAAATTCTTCCGCTGATAACCATTCTTGTTACAAGGGCTTGAGAAGTGTTCAGATTGACTAATAATCAACTATGGGATCAAAGGGACTCTGGACCTCCAGTCCTCCTATTCAGCCAGGCGGCTGATTCTAGGCTATTTATATGCGAATAGCTTTATCTAAGCTAGCTGCCCGGCTCCCTTTGCCTTCGCGTCCTTCGTATTACTGTCTCGGATAGATCAGATCATACGGGAAGGCAAACAGGAGCCTCTGCTATCTATAGGCTTTGCTACCCGATCATATGACTATTCACAGAGTCGCGAATATGCATACGAACACGCAGCCCGCCACACCTAGGGTTTGGTCTAGGTGTTGACCCAGGCCAGTACTGGTCCCAGTCCCTTGGGTCCGTGTGACAATTCTGGAATACATGTGAGCTATTTTCATACGGTTTCCGATGGAGATAAGCTTTGTTTGATAGCCCTTGGACCTTCTAATACGTTATCATACCGAACCATGAATCGCTAGCCGTTTCATCAGGAAGCTATTCTTAGAGACCCGTGAAGCTTTTAAGATACTGGTCGGGATGGGGGCAAATATTTACAAAGGAAAGCACCGACGTCCATCCAACTTGGCGTGCATGACGGCAGACATGAACATGCATACAATTCAGTTGATAATAGCTGCGCCCTTAGCCTTTCTGATGCTCTCGTGCAAGCTCCCAGGGTTTTTAATAAATGTAAGACAGGAAGCATATTATCTCTTACAAAAAGGGCGACAGTCTATGGCGCGTGCTTCGCTGCCGCAGCTCACCTAGGGCTGTGGAATGCTAACTATTCTTCTTAATGCATCCGCAATGACGCCATAAAAAATATCTAAGGAGAGCCCTCCAACCCACAGCAACACGAAGACGTCTTCCCCGCTGCACCCAGATTATTGTAACGAGGGCTTGGAAGAATATACGTATTAGTAATAATCTTTTAAGGTGTCAAGGGAGTCTTAAAAGATTTAACCCTTATGTAGCCAAGTGAGAGATCTACAACTTATATGTCTGAATAACTTCGCCTTTTTTCTTGATTCTGACCTTGGCCTGGCTTCCGTATGGGTGTTTAGGAGGCCGTAGGAGATCGGGAGAAATATGAGGGCAGAAAGCTAAAGCCTCGGTCTCGTACGATAATATTTATGACCTAGCCTTAAAAGTACGTGTGGTATCAATATAGGACCACGGCTTTCCTCGCGGGACACCCTTCAAGCGACCATAGCAAACCTTGGAGATAATTCTAGAAAACCAAAGGGCCACTGCTGATATGCTATTAACCCGGGGAGCTGACATCAATCCAACGTTAATAGATGTACGGTCTGAAGGAGGCTATTCGTTCGTCTACAGACGAGCTACTACGATTTATGCTTCTCTCTTAGCGCAAGCGCTAAGTACCGCAACTCCTATGCCCACTAAGAACCCCTGGCACATATGCTCCCAGCACGCGGCGAGAACATTAACCTCACCTGGAGCGATTATTACTTACTACTATAGGTCGCGGCGCCTTTTTCCCTCACATGGTACAAGATATCACGGACGCCGGCGCGGACATTGATGCGGTAGGTGGTAGATATGCACCGCTCCAAACTACACGATGTCGGAGGTGTAGTCTGCTTGATCTCTTCTGCAACTAGAAGCGAGTGCAGACGGGAATGCTCGTTGCGAGAAGCATGTCAGCCTTAGTTGCTGATATCGGTCCTATGCCTGCGTGAGAAACTTACACTCGGCTAACCATCATCTAAGTGGAGTTGGGGCCCGTGTCCTAACCAGACTCCGGACAGCTCCGCTGTCAGCTATCCAAAGTGGCGGTAACAAGTGGAAACTCTGAGGCGCTCGAATGACTTGTGAATCGGGTTCGGACGTGGGAGTTCGAGGACGGGGATGAGACGCTGTTTATTGAGCGACGTGGAAAATATAGGGACGGAGAAAGATGTCCCATCGGATGTGTTAGCGTCTGGCTTAAATAATATTACGGTCTAGATGGTTGGGAGGAGGATACGAAGGACTAAGCTGATGTTGTCATATATGTTCGGGATTGTCATAGGTTAATAGAATTGAAAGAATCTACGAATTATGCACATGCAGTAGTATCAGGCACGAGCTTTAGCGCTGACTGCAATTGCGGCAGGTTGCAACTAGCCCACAAGGTGGGTGGGGGGTTCGATGGTCGATCTCGTATCGAGCTATAGCCGGGGTGCGGATGCAACATCGCGGATTGTCTAGACTTAAGACTGGCGGGATTTCATTAAGCTCACCACACCGACTGTCTCTCCACCTACTTGATGGGCTGACGTCAATCTATATTCGAACGTGGAAAAATAAAATAAAATAAAATAAAACAAAACAGCAGACCTGAACGGCTGCAAATCGACCGACTACCTGGATACCACCACGTTACCCGGTTGCCGCTGACTCGCTTAGATTTAAGCGATTACGAGGTGGGCGGGTTCGCTCGAGTCCGGGAATTTCGCCGGGAGATCTGCAGTTGACATAGTAAAAACGGTCCCGGGTATTAAGCATTTACCTAGTCTACACTGGAGGCTTGTCCTTAATTGCGCGGGACTGTCCGGGATTAATGAATGAATTCGAAAAAGAATTCGGTGTACTATAATCTATGCCTGCCTAACCTCAGGTAGGCAATGAGTTACACGCTCGAGTGATACTTATTTAATCCAGCCGTCGTCCTGGCTTTCTTTAAGATATTCTGCCCTCTTTACTCTCGAACCATATACCTACCTGCTGCACATATAACACCTACTCAACTAGGTATCAACATCTACTTTAAACCTATAACATCAACCTGCAAAGCAGAGGCTTCAAACCAGCCCCAAACCCACAAACATCACCACCTACTGTACCTACCTCTCAACCCATCCCACGCACGATGCGCACCCAGACGCTCCTCTCGCTATGCCTGGCGATCCTCCCGGCGCTCGCGGACTTCCCATCCTGCGACCCGAGCTGCAAGAGCTGCGGGCTGTACTGCAACGAGGGGTGCGCGGCGCCGCTCGACCTGGCCGAGTGCAACCGGTGCCTGTACTGCCGGCGGGAGTCGTCGAGCTGCGGCTTCGTGAGCGTCCAGTGGCCGTCGGACCCGCCCGACCCGGCGTACTGCGCCATGTGCAAGCAGGGCTGCCACTGCTACATCGACGCCATGTGTTACGACAACGTCACCGTCACGGCCACGCCGAGCTCCAGCGCCGCGCCGACGGCTTCCTTGGTGGGCTAGTCTAGGGGAGTGGGGGTTAGTATCTATCTGGAAGGGGAAAGGGAAGGGAAGGGAAGGGAAGGGAAGGGAAAGGGAGGAGAATAGGGCGGATTTGGGGGGTTGGTTGGTTGGTTGGTTTCTGGCTTGGTGTGAGCTTATTTGGACGACGACTGGAGAGGTAGCGGCTCATGGGGAAGGATTGGGGAGCAGCGGATTCAATTTGTTCATTCCAAGTACGCATAGTTGGGTTAGACGGTTAGACAAAGTCATCGAAATCGAGCGGTCGGCCGCGCATTGAGTTTGCAAGGTTCAAGGAAGTCGGTCCACTCAATTTGGCCGACGTACATAGGTACTTGATCATGGTGGTCTGAACTGCACGCTGTAAATATCTCGAGTTCGCTCTATTTAGTTGCACAACGGTCTCGTTAGCCGGAATCGGCCGGGATGTTTCAATCGGTTCCTCACGCCACGCCGGTCTCAATTATCCATTCCATATTCTTCGTCGCAACCTGATCGTGGGTATCTCTATTCTTACACGTAGTAGCATGTTGTCCACGATGACGGGCTGATGGGTTACGTGTTCGACAATCATGTAATCCTGTTTTTATCCGAATGGACTACTGGTAAATCCGGTTGCTAGGACTCTCAACCCCTCAACTAGAAAACCCCCGCGGAATCGGAATACCTACATCATGCGTTTTCTTCAGAGCTTTACTCGGGTTCAAGGTGTTTCCCTTCCTTCGGTGCTATATTTAGTGTTCATGTGTGGAGGGTGGGGTTAGCCACGGGCACTTTTATGTGCTGTAGGTTCCTATCTCCAGTGGAAGCTTGAGGGATATTTATAGTCATCCTAGAACAGAATCCTGGTACGGCGACGATGATGCTTTCACCGTAGCGCCACCAATTGGGTGAAATTTCAACCGGTGGGTGTATTATACATGGTGATGGTCGCGAATTTGGTTATTTCTTACGTGTACGCCTCTAACATCTAGATAGAGTTCTACGGAGCACTAGGCCTATAGGCTGTTTCGGGTTACCGGGCGGGTGCCTGAGCCAGAGTTGAGATGCCATTGCCTCAGCGTTCCGCAGGGAAATTTACTATAAGTACCTGCCTATCCCCCCCAATTGATATGCCAATGTTACAAATGCATCCCAGCACAATCTACCGATCTGGATTGTTATACGATTTAGGTAACTCACAGAGTGCATGGGCACCTTAAGTAGAACTCTAAGCAACACAAAAGATCGACAGAAAACTTGCCGATCCGTTGGCGCAATGGTAGCGTACAGACCTCCTACTTATTTGCCAATTAATCATTGGCTGTAGAGGTCAGTCTGGGGTTGCGGGTTCGAGTCCCGTGCGGATCGTTTTATTTCTGGTAACTAAATATTTCAAATGTCTTTTGTCCCTTGCTCTGCTCTTTAATTGCTCACCTGCCACTCTTTTTATCTGCTTAGCATCAACTAAGACGGCCAACCTTTTTCTTGTCTTGTAAAGACAAATCTTATTTTAACTAGACGAAACCGTGTATTAACGTACATGTAGGTATTGCTAGCACCGTAGCAAACTTTGGTCATGTCCATCATGTACTTGGTACAGTCTCGAGCGCTGCGAACCGTAGGTGGGGTTCAGAAGGTGGAGCTGACGTAGTTCAATTGGATAGCGCATGTACAGCAGTACGCGAACGCGCCCGCCAACATCTCAATCAACACCTTCCCGTCGCTGTATTGTCCCGATCGACAGCTGTTTCCGCTTGCCTATCTTGCTCTCGCACCACCCGAGAGTTCCAATTCATTCGCTTTTCTCGATCCGACTTACCTCCACACCACCGACTTGCTGTTGAATTATTCCAATTGCACCCCTCTTTTCATACAAACACCGATACAGCTCGGCGCCTTCCACTGGAACATGTCGATGGCCAGGGAGTGTCCATAGCAACAGTCGATTGAGCTGTCATCGCATCACCATGGCTACCAGCGACGACCCGCCCAAGAGGCAGATAACGCCTGTGCCGGCCCCGGTACTTCCAACATCCGTCCTCCCCCAGAAACGCGTTCTCGAAGACGACCATGCACCGCCCATCCCGTCGCCGCTGAACCCAAACCAGAACCTGAACCCGAACCCGAACCCGAATCCGAACCCCCAGTTCCACGACGACCCAGCCACCATGTCTGTCCGCGACAAGCCTGCGAGGACCAAGAAGGACACGCTGAAGAAGCGCGAGTCGAAAGCTGGGGCCGGCACAGGAGCCGGAGCCGGTGTTGGAGCTGGAGCCAGTGGTGGTGGTGGCGTTGGCCCCGACAGCTCGAGAGCGACGCCCGATCCCAAGACCAAGGAACCCGTCCCCAGCGAGTTTTCGCCTCTGCGATACAAGCTGGCCCCTCCCAAGCCTGCCGACTTCGATCCCGCGCGGGGCCCCATCTTCGCCCATCACCACGAAGTTCCCGCCCCCGACGGCGCTCTGCTCCAGTTCTACGAGACCTCAGAACAGTGAGTCGTGGTCTTCTCTGTCGCGCGTGCCGTTTTCGCGTCCCCGCTGACCTCCACCACCAGCGTATACAACAAGAAAAACTACCACTACCTTCACTGCATCGCCGATCCCGTCTTCCCCTCCTCTTTCTACTACCGCCAGACCGAGCCCGAGCCTTACGGCCCCCACATGAGCTTCGAAGATGCCTCTGCGCACATGTACTTCGACCAGTCGGGTCGCCATATCACAACCGACAAGGGATTTCGGATGGCCAGAGCCAATGTGGCCGTGCGCGAGGGGACGTGGTACTGGGAATGCAAGATTACCAGGGGGATTTTGAATCGCGATGCTGCGGCGAAGACTGCGAGCAGTGGTAAGGACGCGGCTTACCAACCCGAAGCGCACGGTCATGTGCGCATAGGCTTCGCCAGGCGGGAGGCGTCGCTGGATGCCCCCGTCGGCTTCGATGCCTACAGTTACGGCTTCAGAGACGTCGCCGGCCAGAAGGTCCACATGTCCCGGCCCAAGGACTTCTTTCCCCCCGGCGAGGATATGAGAGAGGGCGATGTGATAGGACTGGAGATCCGACTGCCATCCGAGCATCTGCACAGGAAGATCGTGCAGGGACAGTATAACCCCGCCGTCGACCTGAATGAGGAGGAGGAGCACGTTATTGAGGCAGCCAACATCGTTCGAGATCGGATACCTATCCGGTTCAAGGCACATATTTACTTTGAGAAGATTGATTATCACACAACCAAGGAGCTGGAGGACCTGATGAACCCGTCGCCGGTAGGGGCGTCCGGCCACGCGGGCAGTAGACAGGGCGACAAGCCGAACCCCAACCATGCTGTCCCCGCTCTACGGACATTACCCAATTCCTATATCAAGGTGTACAAGAACGGGGTGCCGATGGGTACCGCATTCACTGACCTCTTTGCCTTCCTCCCGCCGGCTTCGAAACCCCAGGTACAGGTCGGCGCACGAGAAGGCAAGGATGACGGCATGCTCGGATACTACCCCGCCATCAGCGTATTCCGGGGCGGCGCGGTCGAGACCAACTTCGGACCCGACTTCTGGTACCCGCCACCCGGTTATGCGTCGCCCCAGACCGATGCGGACATGATGGACGTGGACGAGGACACGGTGCGCGTGGGCACGCCGCAACAGAAGAAGCTCGATAAGACGCGGGCCGTTGCGGACCGCTATGACGAGCAGATCGTCGAGGACGTGGTCGCCGATATCGTCGACGAGGTCGACTTCTGGATGCAGGACGGCGCGCGCGTGCTCGACCGTACCGGTGGCCGCGATGAGAGGGCCGAGCCGGTTGGCATTGCGCCGGCGAGTGAGGAGATCAAGGAGTTGGTCCAGGATGATTAGGGCCCCAAGCGCTCAACTCACGACGACCAGAGCCCCCCAGTCATCTATCATGCCCCTTTATTGTGTGGCTGGCGGGACCTATGGTAATGTGGGTATTTGTGACATATCTATCTTGCCGCGATACAGGCGATTTTATCGAATGGGCGCTATATGATTCTGGCCGTCTGGAAACGAAGACCTTGTAGTTTTACATTCGTCACCTAGGTCGCGGATTGTCACTGGGATAGGATTGCCCACTAAATCGATGCCGTGAATTGAGAGGCGGTGTATAAAAAGATTCCATCTATACACACAGTCAGAAGAACAAGGCATGCCGGTGCCATATTATTCATGGGAGCCTCCAATGAAAATGGACATAACCTTACTGCATACCATAGGAGTCGATGAGAGGGTTGTTTTTGAACCTCACCTTTGGGAGGTAAATAACAACGACTCGACTATAATTATCTCAATTGATGAGCAGCCTATGGATCTGCAGCACTTCACCACCATCTCTCTCCACCATGCTTACAAGTAAATCTGGGTAAGTATTAAGAATTGGTTATTTTACTCTGTAGCACTGTCATCGTATAGATACTGACTTCATCTGCATCGTCGTGTCCGTCTTAAAAATACTGCTATTCATCCCACCCTATCCGAAAATAAATAATTCTAATATTAGTAGTATATATAATATACCCCCTCGTCCCACACCGGCCGGAGTGCTTGAAATCGTAGAAACCATGGCCACGCCAAACGAAATAGGAAAAATACTTTAGGTAAGTGGGTAGGTAGGGTAGAGTGGGGAAAGAAAAAGAGACATTATTCCGGGTATCAATCAATCAATCAATCATGCCATCGTCCCGTCATGATCGCCATCATTACACTAGATATCCATTCGCTCATTCATCCGTACCAGAAAACGCCATCGCCACTCCTTACGCCGACCCAGCAGCGCTCGTCACAGGCGCGGGTGTGGGCGCGGGCGCGGGCGCAGCCGGTAACATGGGATCATCCGGCAACTCCTCGACCCGCGCCTGGCCGTCGATGGTATCATCGCCCTCTACCTTCCCCCTCTCCTTTTCCCTCTCGTCGGCCTCGGTGGCCTCGCGCTCGAGCCGGACCTCGCGCCCGCGCTTGTGGCAGTACCACAGCATAGACAACAACAAGAAGACGGCGAGACTCCAGAGGACGTTGGTCCCGATGAAGGCGGGGAAGCGCGTCTTGAGGGCGTTCACGATGCCCTTGAGCAACCCCACCAGGGCGCCGGGTTTGGTGACGATGTCGTGCAGGTTCCCGGGCGTGAGGAACTTCCTGGCCGCGTCTTTCAACCCCCCCCCTCCTCCTTCCTTACCACCGGCGTTGACCCCCTGCGCCTCGGCGGCGACGGCGAGCAGTTCGGGCGCCAGCGAGGACGTCAGTTTGTCCGGCAGTTGGGCGACGAGTTTCTTGAGGCCGCCGGGCAGCCGCTCGTAGTTCCGCGCGAGGACGCCGTCGCGGTCCTCGATGAGGTGGACCAGGTCCCCGTACGCGGTCGGCACCCCGTTGACGAGGTCGCGCAGGACCTGCGTGAAGCGCCGCACCATCTCGGCGGACTCGGCGGACAGCGAGAAGGCGCGGTTGTTCCTCGCCGAGAGGTCGAGGTCGTCGAGGATGCGCGCCATCGCCGAGGTTTCTTGGCGGGCTTCTTCTCCTTCGCCCGGAGCGCCGGGGACGGCGAGCGTGGCGGGGTAGAGCCCCTCCTCGGAGGACGATTTGGGAGGCACGGGCTTGCGTCGGAGGGAGAAGGTGAAGCGCTTGGGTTTGTGTTCTTTGGAGGGCTTCTGGCTTTCTTTCTCCTTGCCTTTGGATTTACTCTCTTTGTTCGCGTCCTTCTTGCTCGATGTGCTCGAGCCGTCGTCGCTGTCAATGTCCATCACGGGCGTCTTGACGCGCGGCGGTAGAGGGGGCGGGGTCTCGTATTCGTCGTCGAGGCTCGCGGAGGAGGGGGAGGTCAGTTGCTCGAGGAACTTCTCGTCTTCGTGGTCGAGGACCGGCGTCCCTTCGACCGCGACGTTGTCCTCGTCATCGGCGGGTGTTGATATGATCCGGGGAGGGGATGTTGAGACGGCAGTTTCTGACGTCGCTTGCTTGTCTTTCTCCTTTTCCTCCTTCTCTAGCTTTTGCTTCTCGGCCGCGGCTTTCTCCTCCCGGTGCTTCTTCACCTTTTTGTAGGAGAAGTATTCCAACATCTTGGCGTGTGGGTGGTGTAGGGACGGTAGGGGACGGGTTGGATTGAGGAGTTATTGTAAAGGGGAAGGTGGATGGATGTACTTGCAAGCACGGAGCTTGCTTTATAACCGTGTCAGAAGTGACAATCAATGTAATGCGGGATTGCCCAGTGAGGGAGGCCTTCCAAGTCCTTGGCGGGCTACGTCACGTCACTGCTTGCTGCTTGCACCGCCACACCAAGCTTCCGTTGGGGTGTGGCGAAAGCTCCAGTCCGTCCCCCGGTCAGAACCCGGTTTCTGCGCCGGTTCATGCATCACCAACTTGATG